GCTTCATTTCATCCTCATCGCTTTATGCAGCTTTTCTGCCATGCAAATTGGAATGAATATATTAATTAGAATATCTCTAAACTAGCACTTTATTCATAAATGACTTCTGAAGGTCAGCCAAATTATTGGTCAAGACTATCCTGAAAATTTAACTTACCTGTCTGGATTCAGAAGGTTTAGGAAGCAAAGGTTTATTTTCTATGTGCTGCATTTTCTAATATTTACCAATGTGCCACCAAGAAAGTGTAGCAAAGTTAAAATATTGCAGTCTGAGAAATACTTATTGGGTATTTATTATTGTGCCAGACACTGTGGTAAATTTCTGTTTAATTGTTTTAATAGTAAGAGGTTCAGTAATTCTTATCTCCTCTTTACTTTCACATCGGGAGGTTCTAGTTGTTTACAAAGAGCCCATGAAAATAGAAAACTGGGGCTGAGCACAGTAGCTCACGCCTGTAATCCCAGCACTTTGGGAAATTGAGACAGCCTTGAGGTCAGGAGTTCAAGACCAGCCTGGCTAATATGGTGGAACCCCATCTCTACTAAAAATACAAACATTAGCCAGGCGTGTTTGTGCATGCCTGTAATCCCAGCTACTCAGGAGGCTGAGGCAGAAGAATTGCTTGAACCCAGGAGGTAGAGGTTGCACTGAGCCGAGATAGCATCACTGCACTCCAGCCTGGGCAACAGAGCTAGACTCAGTCTCCAAAAAAAAAAAAAAAGAAAGAAAGAAAGAAAGAAAGAAAATTTGGCACTAAAAATAACAAGGCTCTCTCTTGACCAAAATTGGATGTCCCAGATATTTTTCCATAAATGATGCTTCTTTTACAGGCTTTAATCCTCCTAGAATTGTAGAATTTTCTCATGGCAAGATCATAATTTTTGTCGTTAGTGAGCTTGATTCCCCATTGTGTCTGAAAGAGCAGGAATAAACTTGTCTGGGCAAGTGTGATAACTTCTTCCTCTTATCCATGGACTTTCCTCTTGGATATTAAGGAAATTAGAAAATTATTTTTCAGGTTCTAGAAGCCTGTGTTTTGTGCCTGTAGGCACAACAACTTCACTGAGTCTCATGGAAGGAAGAAGTTCAGGCATCTCCAGGGGTCTGTAGAAAGCTCTGGCCTCAAGTTCCTCCCTAATCCTGGCTGTAGTGGTGTTAGGGATGAAAAGAGGGCAGTGCAGTGCCACGTAGGTGCACAGCTATCTCTGCACAGAATTTTGAAGTGGTTGCCTTTCTTCCTACCCAGTACAGAGAAGAATATGGTTCATTGATTCACATAATGTGTCTGCAACACCCACTCACCAAAAAGAGGCCTCATTCTTTCTTAATGAGATTTTGTTCTGTAGCTATCTCTCATTCTGTCACCATAGCCTACAAAGGCAATATCTCAAGAACTGAGGTTTAGTTATATACATTAGAGAGAAAATTTCACCAGCCAGAGAGTTGACCCTCAATTTCACCTGGAGCTGCTGGCTAGCATAGTAATCACACAGAGTGATTATTTATTTGGAGGTGTTGTCTACAAGTCCTGGAGGTGAAGCCGTAACAATATTTTCAGTAATGTAATTGGGAGTTGGCTGTGTTGTGAAGGTGGGTGAAATGTAGATCCCTTAACTCACTTTCAAAAGAGTCTAGTGCTTTCGTACAGTGTTTGATTGTCATGTTCCCAGAATGGATTTGAGTTGAGCTCTTTTGCCCCAGGATCTCCAGTTCATTCAGTTCCAATTGATAATATTAAAGTGTTCTTGAAGCCAAAGAATTTTTTTGAATATCCAACTGCTTTACTTGTACCGAAGAAAGTTGAAAGATAAGACATTTTAGATGCTTCAAGAGTGAAAGATGAGGCACGTTGTCTAATTATTTGACATAAGGCCAGTCTTTATATGTTTCTTTTAAATTTTGGCCTAATACACTCATATAGGCTACAGAGTTATCCACCGAGATTAAGCAGGAATGTCGAACCCCTGGAAGTCTGTCTGAATACAATTCTTATGTGCATAATAAACATAGAAACATTGTATATTAGTTTGATGACTAATACGCTGCCTTTCCTTCTCATCCTAATGACAGTTCCATCTTCTCTACATTCAGCATGTGTTTTATTCTTACAAACACAGCTAATTTATGCCTTTCCCTAACTTTATTCTTACCTAGCAAAAGAATCACAAGCCAGAGCACTTACAAAAGTTACTCTGGGTTCAGACACTAAAAGTATTAAAACACTCAAAGAGTCACAAATTAAAACAACCCGTGAAGTAACAAGAGAATCGTCAAAGAAAACATCAAGTTTGTCCTTAACTTCATGCTAAAAAAAACATAAGAAACTGAGAACAAGGCAATCAAGTCTACTGACAAGGATACCACATGGACTGGAGATGGAGAGTGAGACAAGTCCAGCCTTTCCCAAGAAGCTGCCCCAGAGATGACTGTGTCTAAAAGCTGTGCCTATTCCGTGTGTAATAAAAACAGTTTCGAGTTGGGAAATCTTTATTTTGTTCCTTAATATGTAACTGGACTTTGTGTAGTTTAATGTTTGAAAGGTGGTTCCAATCAAAGGAGTATTTACCAGCAGGAAAAACTGAGAATAGCCCTCTACTAAAGTAACAATTTAGAAAATGCATGTTCTTTCTAAATGTGATTTCATCTCTTATAAAGTGTTTAGTCAATAGGACATTTTTTAGAAAATAATATTCCTTTGGTTTGTAGATTGCTTTCTGAATGCATGTAAAGGCATGGGGAATTATAGAATTAAAAGTGGAAATTTCATGAAGAACCTAAAATAAAAATGTTTTAAATCTTCCTGTCAACATTGTCATGTGTTTTATCAGCTCATTAGTTTGTTTGGCATGGACTTTTTGGTAAATTTGGGGAATGCATTTTTCTGTTATTATAGTAAAAGAAAATTTTAATCATATAAGTCATGAATTGGTACAGAAAGCATATGCAATTAATCACTAAAATCTCTTCATATGTTTTTCTATTTTAGCCCCTGAATCAATTTTGCATGAGAGGATTGAACAGGAGATGGAGATGGAAATGAAAGGTATTGTTATAATGGATGTGAAATTTAAGTAGAAATTCTAAAGGATTAATAGGATCCTTGAGTTGCCTTCTTTCTCTTAGTATTATTGAGAAAAAAATGACATAGATTCACAAATATATCTCTTAGAGTATATATTACTTTGTCGCATGCTTGGTTTAGTATGTTGATGGTTACATGCATTGCACAGTAATTTATTGTAAGGTAATTTGAAATTTGGTATTTAAAATTTATCAGCCATGTTCAGCTTTAGGTTTGCAGTCATTTTCAAAAGTGTGTATTAGGAAAAGTTGTCATCCTAATGCATGAAATCATGAAGCAGAAGTTTGTTTTCAAATCGTGGTGAATTAAATTGAACAATAGACAATAATGTAGCTGTCATTCTCAGAATGCAATGTCATGGATGAATTATGGTTGAAATGCTACTTTATTGAGGTTGTGTGAAAGCATTATATTCCCATCCGGTTTACACTTCATGCACATATATCATTTTAACATTGATATGTGTCTTACACTGGCTTGCAGATAGCTGCCTTATGTGATCCGTATTGCCTGCTTTTCTTTGCATAACATTGTGACTTTATGGCTGTATTAGTTCGAATAAACGCCTTCTCATTTTATTTTAGCTAATTACTTATGGTTATAGTTCTTGTATATACTCATTAAATAGTTAATTCTCAAAAACATAATAATTTAATCTACAATCAAAAGACTCAGAAAGGGCGTTTATTCCACTCTCTGCAAGTCAGGTAAGATTTTCCACTTAGCTATCAAAAGAAAGTTTTCCTGCTCTCAAAACAAGTTTGCACAGGAACATGTTATTTTGAAATGCATTTTTGCTTGTTCAAGAAGAAATTTCAACAGTTTGAAGAAAAGACCAGACAACGAACGATTTTCGTGTCAGAATCTTTTAAACAGAGCATGGTGTTGCGTTTATTCGAACAAATATGGTGAGTGAATTTTTTTATGGATTTGTGAGATCTGTAGCATGCAATTTATTTCATTTCCTATTTTGCAATTTTATTTACTTTCAACTTTTTCAAATTCTATGGAAAATAGTAAAAGGTTTTATGTTTTTTTCCAGAATTATTCTCCGAGGAGGAATCTGAACATTCAGAGAGGGATACACGTGACGCCTTTTCAGATTCTGAAGACATAGACCACAGCTCCATGGCTGCTAAAAGATATGCAAGTAGAATATCATCTACAAGCTCCTGGCCTGAATATTTTAAGCCTTCCTTTACCCAAAAACTTATGTTTAAATATGTTTTAGAGGGTGAACCAGTTGTTTTTACATGTAGATTAATTGCCTGTCCAACTCCAGAAATGACTTGGTTTCATAACAATCGGCCCATCCCAATAGGTCTTCGTCGGGTTATAAAAACTGAGAGTGATTTACATCATCACTCTTCCAGCTTAGAGATTAAAAGGGTCCAAGACAGAGATTCTGGAAGCTATAGGTTACTAGCAATTAATAGTGAAGGGTTTGCTGAATCAACTGCCTCATTGCTTGTTATCCAAAAAGGGCAAGATGAGAAATATTTAGAATTTCTGAAAAGAGCAGAACAGACACAGGAAAACATGGAGGCTTTAGCTGAAAGGGGAGAAGATAGGATAAAGGTTGACCTGAGGTTTACTGGCTCTCCTTTTAATAAAAAACAAGATGTAGAACAAAAGGGAATGATGAGAACTATACATTTTAAGACAATGAGTTCTGCCAAGAAAACGGATTACATGTATGATGAAGAATATTTAAAAAGTAAATCTGACATAAGAGGATGGCTTAACGTAGGTGAAAGTTTCCTGGACAAGGAGACCAAAATGAAGTTGCAACGTTTAAGGGAGGCTAGAAAAATGTTAATGGAAAAAAGGAGATTATCTCTTTTAGATACGTCTTCTGAAATAAGCTCAAAAACTTGGAGAAGTGAGGCTAGTGATAAATATATTCTGTTCCCTAGAGAAGACACAAAAGCAAGATCTATGTCTGATCTAGCTGAAAGTTATATGGATAGATAATTCAGCTGAGGGTATTGTGCAAAATCCACATGCCCTTTCTAATCAAATGGATCAAAATATAGAGTCTGAGGGACTTCCCTCAAGCTTTCAAACTATTGTTGATGAGGAAATTTGCCAAAATGAAATAAGAATGAGCCAAGAGACATTGGTAAAAGAAAGTCTACCAAAGGACCATTTATATGGTGAAATTCGAGTAAATGAAAATACCCAAGCAAGAGGACAGCTGGAAGAAATTACAGCCAATGCTACAATTGGAGAGTCATCCACATATATCACTAATGTATATGAGAAGGAGAAAGTATATGAGACTCCTGGAAAGGTGTCTCAAGCTATTACACCAGATACCACTGAACCTTTTTGTACACTTGTAAATATTGATGAAAGTGAAGAAATAGCTAGTGAAATAATAAGAAAGGATGATTTAAAAGAAGTACAACTCTCTGCTTCTACAAAAGTTGATGAATTCAAAACAGAACAGAAGGAAGAAAATATGAGGTTTTTTGAAAATTCATTTCGAAAACGCCCACAACGTTGCCCACCTTCATTTCTTCAAGAAATTGAATCTCAAGAAGTTTATGAAGGTGACAGTTGTAATTTTGTGTGTCATTTTCAAGGATATCCTCAACCTATAGTCACATGGTATAGCAATGACATACCAATCCCACGTAATCAAAACTTTATCATTCATTCTTTGGAAAACTATTCAATATTAACTTTTTCTTCTGTTCATCATCAGAACGAAGGTTCTATTACTTGTGTGCTGTTTAACCAATATGGAACAGTAAAATCAACTGCTATGCTTAAAGTGAAAGCAAAACAAAAGCATGATGTCAAAGCACATAAAGTCCCAGCGTTCCACGACTACTTTGATGAGGAAGAAGAGCTAGCACTGGTGTTTGACCGAGCAAAAGGCTCCCATCCATCTATGAGTCAAGAGGGCGAAACAAATCTTCATACGTTAAAAACTAACCCACCAGCTCCTCCCTCTGGAGACACAGAATTGCTTTCCTTTCCTGTAGAAATTCAGGTAACAGCAGCTACTCCTATCCCAGAACAGGATAAAGAGTCTAAGGAAATGTTTCAAACTGAGGAGCTAGAACCTGAAGCATTGCCTCAACATCAAGTTACTCAGTCACCAAAACACAAATTTGTATTTTTGTCTGATATTACTAATGAGCCACCAAAAATGTTACAAGAAATGCCAGAGCGTGCCAGGTGTAGAGAAGGGGATTCCATAATTCTTGAATGTTTAATATCTGGTGAGCCCCAGCCAGTTGTAACATGGTTTCAAAATGGAGTCCTTTTAAAGCAGAACCAGAAGTTTCAGTTTGAAGAAGTTAATTGTAGCCACAGATTATATATTAAGGATGTTAATTCTCAAGATTCTGGAAAATATAAATGTGTTGCTGAAAACAATTCAGGAACAGTTGAAAGTGTTTCAGATCTAACAGTGGAGTCTGTTACTTATAGGGGAAATGATCAATTCAAAAACATTGGTGAAATTTATGGAAAATATTCCAGAGATCAGCAAGCACAAGTCCAGGGAGAATCTGTGAGGGCACATTTGTATGATTATCCAGCTGGTCCCTTTACTCCCTGGATGAATGTAAAAGAATATTCAGTAAAGGACTATTTTCAAAGCCTTGAGACCACTGAGCTGATAGATAAGAAAGACCAGGTGTGTTGCATACCTTCTAGAGAAAAACTACCCAGATTTGTGCATGGTGCTTCAAGATCCATAAGAATCAACAAGCCCATCAGGGCTGAATTCATACAATGCCAGGATGAAGGGAAAGAGAGACATGGAAGTGAAAAATCAAAGCTGCACCAAGCAGAGGGTACCGTTTATCCATTTGTTGATTATTTCAGTGATGTCACTATTAAGAAAGATGTAAGAAACAATTTTGAAAAACTTGGTAGATCAGAACAAGAAAATGTACAAGAATGTGCCCGAAGTGGCTGTTTACCAAATGTCCACTCCGAGAGAATTTCTGACAGTTATACAAAAGATTCATCTGCCATTGTATATGAAGAATCCCTTGGTGAAGAGATACACTACCCACGGAAAAAGGTGAAGCACAGAATTATCGAATTTGAAAAATTACATGTAGAAAAAGGAGTTCTAGAAAAAAGACCTACCAGAACATCATTTGTTAATCTTCCTCAAAGGAAGGTTGATGACAAAGCTTTTTCATTAAAGCAAAGCGAATCAAGATCAAGTAATCTAAATGCAAATATGCATCAGGCAGAGAAACTGTCTCCAAATACTGAACCAGATTCATCTAACATTGCAATGAATTTAAAGCTACTTTCCTCTCCAACTCATAAGGAATTTGAAGTACAAGAGAAGGAACAACAGGAAAAAATAAGTCTTATAGATAAAACTGCAATTTCTAAAAGAGCTGAACATGAATCACCTATTACATTTGACTTAAAGCAGTTTCACTCTCAAATAGAACATTTAGATGTGAAATTCCAAGAATTAGATAGTGGTCAACCAGAAGAAGCTTATTTTAAAATCCAACATCCTGCTTCTGAAACAGCTGATACTGAAAACATTGTGTTTGATCTAAAACAAATGTATTCTCATACAGGAGAACCCACCATGGAGTTCCAAGGGCAAGAAACTAGGGAACAGCAGGAAACACTTTATAAAGAAAAAGTTCCCAGCCCTGAAACAGTACAACCTGATGCACATAGTATCTCTAAAAAACATGTGCAAAATAATGTATTTACCAGTCAAGAAATTTCTTCCAGTCTGGAGCTTTCAAATAGAACTACTGGTGGAGAAAAATAGTATTGATGAAAATTCCTTTTCTTTAGAGAAAGAAGTCCAACATGTACAGGAACAAAACTTAGACATTTTAAAAACTGACCTTTCTCTTAAATCCTTTTCTGAGGAAATCTGTAGTGAATCATGTGCCCTACTTCTAACCTCAGAAGAAACTGATCTTTCTGAGAAATATTGTTCTCTAGAAAATGGAGACGGAAGTTTCATCTCCCATTTGAAAAAAGCAGCAAGTGAAGAAAAGCCTTTAGAGGTTGGTGAAATGAAAGAAGAATGCACTTTAGAACCAGAGTTGGCATCATTTCCAAAGCAGGATGGTGGGACACAGGAATATACAGATGCCACTTTGGAAGACCACAGAGGTGATGTTCAGGAAGCTGATGCACTCCAGAGACAGCTCTCCCTGAGTCAGTGCTTCCCGTTCTTGATGACTGAAGAACAGAATCCAGGTGAACAAATAAATACAAACATTGATGCCTCTGGAGAAAAAAGATGTTATGAAGAAGTTCAAGTTCAAAAGGAAACTTCTTTCTCCACTATAGAAGGAGAAATGATAGAAACTTGTCTTTCTCAAAATATTCCTAAATTGGATGAGGTACATACCACTGAGATAGCAGAATCTGAGACCTCCCTTACACAATATTTACTCACTGCTGGAAAGCATGAGGTTCCTGAAATTAAAGACGCAAGAGACCAGGAAAAGCTTGTCCCGAGTGAATCGATTACTTCAATGGAAGTGGAAGAAGTAACTTTCAACACTGTGTATGAATACTACACCCAGAAACAGGAATTATTAGGTCGTCCATTTTCTCCTGAGTCTGACATTTCCATTGGTGTGGGAAGTACAACCAGTGAAGAAATCTCTGAGTTAGATCAGTTTTACACCCCACCATCATCTGTTGAATGTCCAAAGTCCCCTGACTTATCTTTTAATCCTTCAGATATAAATAAACAATCTTCAATACATTCAGGAGATGAGATGCTTGAAAGATATTCCACACCTTTAGGGGAAGTTGCTGAAAGATATTCAACACCTTCTGAAGGTGAAATAGGAGAAAGATACTCCACACCCCCAGGGGAGGCACTAGAGAGATATTCCACACCTTCAGGAGAGTCTCTGGAGAGATATTCCACACCCCTAGCAGAGACTTTAGAGAGATATTCTACACCCCCAGGAGAGACTTTAGAGAGATATTCTACACCTCCAGGAGAGACTTTAGAGAGATATTCTACACCCCCAGGAGAGACTTTAGAGAGATATTCTACACCCCCAGGAGAGATTCTAGAGAGATATTCCACACCTCCAGGGGAGGCACTACAGAGATACTCTATTCCTACTGGAGGACCAAACCCCACTGGTACTTTTAAAACATACCCATCAAAAATAGAAAGGGAAGACAGTACACCAAATGAACATTTCTATACACCTACAGAAGAGAGAGGTTCAGCTTATGAAATACGGCGTTCTGATTCATTTGGCACACCCAATGAAGCCATTGAGCCAAAAGACAATGAAATGCCTCCATCTTTTATTGAACCTATGACCAAAAGGAAGGTATATGAAAACACAACACTAGGTTTCATCGTTGAAGTTGAAGGTCTTCCAGTTCCTGGTGTGAAATGGTATCGAAATAAATCTTTACTAGAGCCAGATGAAAGAATCAAAATGGAAAGGGTGGGTAATGTGTGTTCACTGGAAATTTCTAACATTCAAAAAGGAGACGGGGGAGAGTACATGTGCCATGCTGTAAACATCATAGGGGAAGCAAAGAGCTTTGCAAATGTAGACATAATGCCCCAAGAAAATAGAGTGGTGGCACTCCCACCTCCAGTAACACATCAGCATATCATGGAGTTTGATTTGGAAAACACCGCATCATCAAGAACACCTTCTCCTCAAGAAATTGTGCTGGAAGTTGAATTAAGTGAAAAAGACGTTAAAGAATTTGAGAAGCAGGTGAAAATAGTGACAGTTCCCGAATTTACTCCTGACCATAAAAGCATGATTGTGAGTCTAGATGTTCTTCCACTAAATTTTGTAGAGCCAAATATGGATTCAAGGGAGGGAGAAGACAAAGAACTAAAAATTGACTTAGAAGTGTTTGAAATGCCTCCTCGCTTTATACTGCCTATTTGCGATTTTAAAATTCCAGAAAATTCGGATGCTGTATTCAAATGTTCAGTCATAGGCATCCCTACTCCTGAAGTTAAGTGGTATAAGGAATATATGTGTATTGAGCCAGATAATATTAAATATGTGATTAGTGAAGAGAAGGGAAGTCACACTCTCAAAATTCGAAATGTCTGTCTTTCTGATAGTGCAACATATAGGTGCAGAGCTGTGAATTGTGTAGGAGAGGCTATCTGTCGGGGGTTCCTCACCATGGGAGATTCCAAAATATTTGCTATGATAGCAAAGAAAAGCAAAGTGACTTTAAGCAGTTTTACAGAAGAACTGATCTTAAAGAGCAACTACGCAGACAGTTTTTTTGAATTTCAGGTGGTGGAAGGGCCTCCCAGGTTTATCAAAGGTATTTCTGACTGTTATGCACCCATAGGCACTGCAGCGTATTTTCAGTGTTTAGTTCGTGGCTCTCCAAGACCCACAGTTTACTGGTACAAAGATGGGAAATTGGTCCAAGGAAGAAGATTCAGTGTTGAGGAAAGTGGCACAGGATTCCACAACCTGTTTATAAGAAGCTTAGTAAAGAATGATGAAGGAGAGTACAGGTGTGTAGCTACAAACAAATCAGGAATGGCTGAGACCTTTGCAGCACTCACCTTAACTTAAAATGTAAATGTTTTAATGCCTCAGTAATTATTAGAATTAATCTGAGTGCTTTCATATTTTCCAAATTATATGGCTCTAATAAACTTCCAAATAGGTCACCATACTTGAATGCATTACCTTGGAGACCCCTGGAGAAATAATCTCTATGTAGAAATCCCATCTTTGTAATACATGTAAATATTTTGTTATCTGAACTTTAAAATCATCTCTTGTGTCAATCATGCTGTGTAACATTAAACACAATTAAATCTCTCCTTGGCTACCTAATTGTTTGTACTTCTATTTACCTTCATTCCTTCTCCACAAAGCATTTCAGCAGAATGCACTCTCTTTTAGCAGATATACTATATATGCAAAAGTAGAATGTAAAATCGAAGACCGTGTCAGATGACCATGCAGACAGATTGGTAAGGGTAATTCTCCTCTCTGCTCCCATTCTAAGTTATTTTTGGAATTGTAACCCTTTTGCATCAAACCTATGTTTATTTACTTCAACTTAGAATAGGCAAAACAAACAACAAAAACCAACTTCTCTCAATTGGTAACTAATTCTATAATCTGTTTGACATTTCAATCTTAATATATTAACTTCACCTCTTTTAAAAATATTTTCATTATTCATATTCCCCTTCATAAGTTTTAAATTCTCACTGGCTTTAAGGAACCAATTGTACTCTTTGTGGGCAGGGCTCACCTAGACATTTGCAAAATAAGCAAATAAGGATCTTTCCACTTTTGGAGATACCTTATTTTCTCAATTTTTGAGATGACATCAAGTGTAAAATACAGCAATAATTTAGTATTGGCCTGGGGAAAAAGGGAAACTACCATATTGTGTTTACACATAGATTTTAAAACTGTATTCTGATTTCAGAGTCTTTAAAATTAAAAGAAGGTGGGATATTTTTAGAACTGAGACAATATGATAATTTGTATTTCAGATTATATACAAATAACAAGAGAAGCTTTCCTGTCAGTTTCATTGAATTTCACCTTTAATATAAGATAATAAGCAATTTTTATTATGTTTGTTTCTAAGTGACTCTTCAATTTTATCTTTTAAAGTTAAAACAGCAGTAAAGTAACATACTCCCTAACATCTTACCTATATACCAATGTGGACCTATGTCTTCTCATACAAGACTTGACAAATATTAAAAAATTCTGAAAATGAGGAGTAGGCCCAAAAGACCTGAGAGGCGTTCATTAAACAATATAAGTCTGTATATCCTATTGGTAATTATTCTTAATACAATTTAAAATAAATTTTAATCTTGTAACAAAGGACGAGAGAAAGGATATTACAATGAAAGATAAATTTTACCTCCCTCCACCTCTTAAGTTACTTACTGTTACTTAATGGCTATATTTTCCACCTGCATTGAACAATATTTAAGTACCATGATCATATTTAAAACAATAATTTTAATTTTAAATATAAACACTTAAATTTAATTTTCAGAAGAATTAATATATCCAATTATATTTATTTTGTGTCTTTTATCGGTCAATCTTTGTTCCCAACAGGGGAATTCTCTAACGGCTATCCAAATTAAAGAAGCAGTAGAGGTAATGTACAGAAAATAGGCAGAGCAGTTAGGCTTCCCCTGCCTCCATCACAAAAATAATTTTGATGTATCTATTTGAGCCACCATAACTCATCAGCATAGATACACACCTGCAGAACAAACATTCCTGTTCCAACCAGTGAGCGCACAATAGCTATGATAATAATTTAGACACAGTGTAATATATCACATCACAAATTCCCAAAATAAAACTAATTCTATAGTTTAGCAACTTAAGAATTTAGTCTGCTCTTAGTCACATAATGGATGTTAAAATTAATTAGAAATTCAGACTGAAGCAAACGTAATAGGCATACTTTACTCAAACATACAGCACAGCAACAGTTCAAATCTTGTTTATTAAAGAAAGAGAGAGAGAAATAGAAAAATGTTTTAATGTCCTACTGGATTTAAGGAAGAGCTGAAAAGACTTATTGATATAAGAAAGGGGGCTTTGTTTGATTTTTCTCATTAGAATTCTGTAATTCTGTTAGTTTCAAGTGCGATGAACTTGAGTATATGCAGAATAACAGTGACTGAATAACGAAAAGTAAGCCTTGGCTTACTTTAATTGCCATAGATAATGAAATGGAATTTTTTTTATTTTGGCACATAACATAAAACCATGAAATATTTATTTCTTTGATTCCAGATAAAAATTTATTGTATTGCACATAGTTGAGTTTAGACAATTAATAGCTGCTACCACTATATGTCCTTTTTTTTTTTAACTACACCATTCAAGTTTCAGCCCATTTAAATTTCATTTACTTTTCTTTTTATGGCTAATAATACCATGGCTTGAAGTAGGGGAAAACATTTGAAAATATTTCAACTTACTATTGAGTAAGAATATTTTAACTGTACTCACATTCATTCGCTGTACAGATATTTTGTAAGTTCAAGTGAAGGGAAATATAATTATATATTGTAGATTAAATGCAAAGTTAAGTGATCACCATTAATGTGTAAAATTACTCAATGGTTTTATGGTTTACTTAAAATAATAAATAACTGAATATGTTTTCTACATGCTATAGATGAGTTTCTCTAGTATTTTTACAGCCAACAGACATTTAAGTTCTGTCTTTTAATGCTTACACACTATAACAGGAAGGAATTAAGGTGTAAGTCTATTTCATGTGATGCAAGTGAAGTCATTTAACAAAATCATAAAATTACCTTTTGCTAAGGCAATAAGACTACTAATAACAGGCCTGTTCTATATACCTAACAGGTTTAATAAAAAATTGAATGCCTTGTTTAAAATCACATGTCTTTCATCCTGTCATCTGGGGTACTGTTTAGTCTCTGTTATGCACTGCTTTGTTTCTTTCTCAGTGGTTCTGTACAGATTTTCTTACAAAATAAAATACAAGGAACTTTTAATATTGGAGTCATTTTCTTTTACTTTTGATTCTTTTATTTTCTTGATTAATGCCTTATTGTAAAGGCTTTGTTCTAGTAATATGGTGATTTACACAGGTGAAAGAAGACCTGCATTTATAGAAACTGAAAACAGTTGTTCTCTTACAAATCCAAATTAAATATTTCCTGCAACCTCTTTTTTTTTTTTTTTTTTTTTTTTTTTTTTTTTTTTTTTTTTGAGACGGAGTTTCGCTCTTGTTACCCAGGCTGGAGTGCAATGGCGCGATCTCGGCTCACCGCAACCTCCACCTCCTGGGCTCAGGCAATTCTCCTGCCTCAGCCTCCTAAGTAGCTGGGATTACAGGCATGTACCACCACGCCCAGCTAGTTTTTTGTATTTTTAGTAGAGACGGGGTTTCACCATGTTGACCAGGATGGTCTCGATCTTTCGACCTCGTGATCCACCTGCCTCGGCCTCCCAAAGTGCTGGGATTACAGGCTTGAGCCACCGCGCCCGGCCATCCTCTTATTTTTAATAATGACTTTAGAGCAGTAATTAGGACACTCGTGTTTTATTCTGGAAACAATCAGTCTTTAACAAATAAGATTATTCTCAAACTCAAGAAAACCCTAAATATAAATAGCAATTTTGGATCCATTTAGAAGTTGATTTAAATAATTCTGGATTATTATAACTATTTAATTAGCAATTTTTCAAACTTTAGAATTGGAATTGTATCTCAAGAAAAACTCATGAGAACATTTTTAAAACTTAATGATCTCTAATACAGGTGAAGTGGATCAAAAATTGCATTTGTAACGTATCTATAATTTTATATGTTAAGCTAAGAAAAATTTAGAAATGTGCTTTTTGATAACTTAATCTTAGAATAATCTAATCATTCCAGGAATAAACCAGAAGAAGGCCATCAACTGGTGTCTAATTCTTTGATTTCTACTTTTATGTTAAATAAAATTTTGTAGTAAAATAATAATCATTTTTCCCCATACAGAGTTTTCTAGTTCTTTTCTGTCTGCTGAGGAAGAAGGACTTCATAGCTCTGAACTTCAATTATCTAATATAAATGAAACACTTGAACTTTTGTCTGAACATCCAGTTTGCTCAACTAAATTTGATTCCAAAAAGGAAGGCACTGTCCCAGTTTTCATCAAAGAAGTGTCAAATGCTGATATAAGCATAGGGGATGTGGCTACACTGTCTGTAACTGTCATTGGCATCCCCAAACCTAAAATTCAGTGGTTCTTTAAGGGAGTGCTGTTAACCCCTTCTGCTGACTACAAATTTGTTTTTGATGGTGATGATTATAACCTGATCATTCTGTTCACCAAATCTGAGGATGAGGGAGAATATACATGTATGGCCAGTAATGACTATGGAAAAACAATATGTAGCGCCTATCTAAAAGTGAATTCCAAAGGAGAGGGTCACAAAGACACAGAGACAGAATCAGCAGTGGCAAAATCTCTGGAAAAGCTTGGAGGTCCTTGTCCTCCTCACTTCCTTAAGGAGTTAAAAGCAGTTTGCTGTGCTCAAGGGCTTCCTGCCATCTTTGAGTACACAGTGGTTGGAGAGCCTACCCCTACTGTTGCATGGTTCAAAGAAAACAAGCAGCTTTGCACTAGTGTTTATTACACTATCATTCATAACCCTGATGGCTCTGGGACTTTCATTGTTAATGACCCTCAGAGAGAAGACAGTGGCCTCTACGTCTGCAAAGCAGAGAACATGTGGGGTGAGTCCACCTGTACAGCAGAGCTGCTTGTGTTTCTGGAAGACAGAGACGTGACTGATACCCCCTGCAAAGCACAGTCCACAGTGGAGGCTCCTGAGGATTTTCCACAGACAGCCTTAAAGTGTCCTGCAGTTGAGGCACTTGACTCAGAGCAGGAAATTGCAAGGTTTGTAAAAGACAGCATTTTGAAACCTGCTTTAATTACAGAAGAAAACCAGCTACTATCTTATGAGCATATTGCTAAAGCCAGTGAATTGAACAGTCAGCTTCCTTTGGGAGCTCAGGAATTGCAATCCATTTTGGAGCAAGACAAGCCCACTCCTGAAAGCACCAGGGAATTTCTTTTCATCAATGGCAGTGTTCACTCTCAGCCTCTCCAGGAGCCATCTCCCAACCTCCAGCTGCAGATTGTACAGTCCCAGAAAAGCTTCTCCAAAGAAGGAATTCTAATGCTTGAAGAGCCTGAGTCACAGGTGGTTCTGTCAGATACTGAGAAAATCTTCCCAAGTGCCATGTCCATAGAACAAACTAATTCATTAACAGTCCAGCGTCTGAAAACTTTATTAGCTGAACCTGA